CCACCCACCCACCCCCTTTCGCATGTTTGTCCATTTAAAAATACACTTCTTGCAGTGATTCTGTAAGATTTAAAGCATCTTAAGTTTAGCATCTTACTGAACTGCATTTACTTACTCAGTGTTCCTGACATAAATGAAATTGAGAATGAATAGAAAATTCATTAGGATCTAGGCAAAAAGGTTTAAAAATCTCTGGCAGCATCTCACTAACCACTTTTGCCTGGATTTACATTCATTAGCTTGGATTAGTAATTAAGTTTACCTGTAAGACTAGCAAATTAATAGCAAATTAACATATCCTCCATAATAAGCTTCTAAAACACGGTCTGTGCACACACTGTTCTTTTACTTCCCTATAAACACTGAAGATATTAAATAGTAAAAATACTGTAGTCTTTGCTCTTTCTGTAATTGTATTTCCTGTTTTTAGTAGTTATGTTCCGGTATTACAAATATATTATGTTTATAATCATTACATTCCAAATTTTCACTATTTTGATAAAGACAAACATTCAGTTTCTGTATGTTACTAAAAATTGCTGTCTCATTATAATAAACTGCCTCTTCCAAGAAAACTGATACAGTCTCTTTCGAAGTCTATGGGTTATATTTTCAGTGAACTGTGAATCAGGCTTTTTTTTTTTTTTTTTTTAAATAAACTAGATATAGAAACTTGGTATGTAACTCTCAAAAGTGAAACAAGGAAGGAATAACAATTACAGGTATTAACACAAAGTATGTTTGAGAAATATCATCCAATACCTTATTTTCAATAACAGAAGTGATTCGTATATCTGTTTTGTAGGTATAAACAATTATGTTTTCACAACCATCCATTACTTTGGCCTCTCCTTTATTAACAACAGACTTGCAAATGGCCCTATTGAGTTGCCAGCCGCCTGTCTCTAGGTATATGGCTTTAATTCTGGGTTTGCATTTTTCTGCATAGACGTCAATGACAAAGGGGCATGCCTGTAACAGAGAGAAAATAAAAAATTATTACCACTTTTTTCTTGTTTCTTCCACTCAGATTTTTATCCACAGCTCCTGAATATTTTCACAGACGCTCTGAAATAGAATTATCCAAGTGTATGTCACTGAATATTAAATATTGAAAATCTGAGAGCTGTGGCTATTTTTTAAAACAAATCAGAGATCAAGACAAATTAGTGATCTCCATGACATTCATGGTATGCTTGATGTGCAGCTTGGTTCATTCCACTCTAGCAAGACAAACCCTCTCTTGGATGACAAAATGTACAGGAATTAAGGAGACATACGAATGTATTTCAGGATATGAAATAAATCTGTCTCCTTCACCTGCCAAACTCTTGCTAACTGTGCCATTTCATACAGATTTAAAATATCTACAGTCTCGCATCAGGAAGCACTCTGCTCTTACAGTTTCTTGGCTAGAAGAGTGTGTGACAACCAGGAGTCCCCATGCTCTTAGACTCATTAAAAGCACCTCTGTTTTTATCAGATGGCTGTTGGAATACACTAGGATTATGCTTTTTCAATTGTATTCTTAATTTATTAGGCTCAATGCTCCTGAAATAGCAAGTCTGAATCTTTTGAAATCCAGGAATTAAAAGGGTTAAGTTATATTCATAACTTAAGTAGATATAAATTTTGGATTAATGACTAAAGCATATAAAGGAGCTGTATTTGTCTTTGGAAAGCGAAGACTATAGCCATAAACCAAAGCTAATATAAGGCAGAAAATACCTGTGAGAAATTTCTAAAAGATGTGATAAAAACCTCCCCAAACCCTTCTTTCTTAGAGCATAGCTCCCTCTTACGTCTGAAGTGCAAAAAGACAGTTCTGTAGCTGCTCTGCTAACCATATTCATAGGAAAAGAAGAGGAAAGCACTACTCATCAAGAAATCGCTCGCCATGATCTCAAGATTTTCACTGAGAAGCCAGCTGAAGTCTCTCCACCACTAACCAAGTATTTTTAGGTCTATATATATTTGTTTTCGGTACATATATTTTTATATGGTGATTACATAACTACATGGTCCTAAATTGCTTTAGTTTAACAAAAGTTAAAGAAAATATGGTAAGACTATGATAAATAACACCAACAAATCAGCTTTTCCTGGGAATAAAAGTTAAATGATAACATTTTCTGCATATTTAATGAGTAGATGTTTTATTATTTTTGTTTTTATTAATTTTCTGTAAATTTTTTTTTTTCTCTTTGTTAAAAATATCCTCTGGAAATTCTGTGATGGGTCTGCAAACTGATAACATGAGAACTACTAACACCCACATTGATACTATTTCTGTAAAAAACCTATAAGCACACAGACACATCAGAGAAATAATCCCTGGCCCTACGAAGTAAACAGTTTGCCACCTAAATCTCTCTCGTTTAAATTTTATGTTGAACATATTCAGACACTATAGTGAGGATCCATAGCAACAGAAATAACCACTTCTGAAAATTATGAACTCTAAATCATGCTAAAAAAAGCTGTCTTATCCTATTCAATGCAACACATTACAAACCCAAATCTAAACTCCATCTTCTAAATTCATTCTAGCTACCCTGTTCTCCACCTGACATTTCTGTGTTAATCTTGAAATTAGTAGCAACAATTTGTTTGCATTATGGGATACTTTTCTGTTGTACTGTGATTAATGGCTTCCTTTGTGGCTTAGGCCACAAAAATGATTTTTTTAAACAAACCTGAACAGAGCATGTTCTGCACTTTGTAGGTTTGCTGACAGGTCACAGTTTACCATCACTACCTTCTCACCAGCAATGCATGAAGTCTTTCAACAGGTATAACCCAAGATTCTTTCCTTTACAACCATGCAAAATATTGGCTTTCTCCTATAGAGCAAAAATCAAATTCTCTCTCTGAAAAATGATACTGTTAACCTAAGAAACGAAATGCCAGGCCTGACAGTCACATGCATTAGCAGCACTTGAACTGGGTCACTGGCCTACTGAAATCAGTTTATGAAGGACAGAAGCAATGCTGCAATTAAACACGGGCAGCAAGTTATATAGGAAGCAATTATTTTTGCTATACAGCTTTCATACCTCTATCATTTCTAATGCTTTATTGTAGCCCAGTGACAATAAAGTGACCCAAAGGTCACTAGGATCTCCTTCACGGTCATTGGCTTCCATGAGATTCAGATCCATAAATCCCTGTCTTGTTAGTTCATTCTTCTTCATGTCAAAATTCTCTGTTTAAAAAGAAAAAGAAAGATAAGGTAGCACTTAAACATCTATTCTCTCTGCAAACTCGCTTTGTCCTCCCTAAGCCAAACTCCTGCTTACATCAATGAGGTTTACAAGATTGGACCATTGTACAGCTTCAGGCTCTCCAAATATTATGTGATGATGAGCCCCCTTGACTAGATATGTGCAGAGCTCTTTGCAGAGCTTTCCCGAGAATTCTAGAGAATGACTAAAGATAGTTGAACCCCAGTATGACCTAAAAGTGGGCAAGCTTTCAAAGTAGAAAGAGTTCATACTGATTTTTTTTTCTTTCTTTCTGCTAGTGGTATCTGCTGTGGTTAAGATTTTCAGAATGGAGAACATTAGGAATAGGAAATGAAAGTCTGGTGGGGCTAGCACCCTTAGTGCTTGGGTCTTTGGTACAGAAATGATTTACTTAGTCCCTAAAAAGCAATAAAATGCCAATAATCCTAACACACCTCTCTCGATAGAATATGGCAGACGGACCACTCTAATGTCAGCAAACACAAAATTGAAATGTCCTTGTGTCAAAGATTTTTAAAATGGCTTTCTCATCTTCATAACAATGCTAAATCTTTACTATATATTATTAAAAAGGGATAACCACTTCAATAAATCTATCTAAAGGTACTCTGCTATTATAAATGGCTTGAACTTTGTTGTCAAGATTTATGATATTTGTCTGAACCCTTCAACTGATTAATGACCTGGCAATACATTCACCGTTTTCTCTTCTTTCCTCTCTTACACACTTCACACAGGCACACACCCCTCCTACTCATATTGACACCAGTGCACAGAGGCATACACAGATATATAAAGTTATAAAATGTGGACTAGTGTGTACAGGGATGAAAGAGAAGAGAAACTGATTTACAGGAAAGTACTTCTTTTATAATTTTTCCATTATTTGGGAAAAAAACTCCAATATCTTAGTGTTTTGGGGAGAAATATTTGACAGGACTTGAAAATTTTCAAGTATTTTGTCCCAAATTAAGCAATGTATCATAGCCTACATAGGAATTATAGCTAACAGATGACATGGGCTAATATAGGATAATATGCCATAGTGACACTTCAGACATGGGCTGCAGAAAAAATGTTTCATATACAAACTTCTAATTTTCATACAAGGACTTCCGAATTTCCATTTCCATTTGACTTCAGCTAAACTGCCAATGCTTGGAAACCACTGCTTCCATGGACTGCGTTGCCAGAGTATCTTACAGTCACTTGTAGTTGTATTCTCCTAACCTGCTTATGAAACAGATATGTGTATTTAAGGCCTTTGCAGGGTTAAAGCAAAGCCACAGAATTCCTTTTCTTCTTCAGAATTGACATTTGGGGCCCAATACTGCTCCTTCAAGCTGGCAGGATGTCCAGTGACATCGATGACACACATATCTACAGATAGAAGAAATACAGCTGAAAGAGTCCTATCTGTCAGCTTCCTGGTCTCACTCACAGAAGTCTCAGAACCTCATAGCTTCATATAGGGCAATTTGGGTAAATTGATGCACTGTATATGAACCTTCAAAAGGCAGATTTCTAATGAAAAAATGCTTACATCTGAAGATGTATGGTTGCAATACATATTTTCTAATGTCTAATTTTCTAAGCAATCATAATAAGCTCTGGATGCCCTTGTTTTAAAGTACTGTATATACACTGATTAACTGCCCCTCTCAACACCTTGTGAAACATGAAAGCAGTGTCACCTGAATCTGCAGAAAAAAAAATTGATTCAGTGAAAAATTGTTACAGATAAATTCACTATATGATCCTTGATTAGAAAGCTACAGCTATAGCACGTCTTTCACCTATAAAACTTTTAAAACTTTGCAATTAGCAATGAGAACTTTCTCAACAGAAGGTCAGCAGCACACAAATCAGAATGAAGCAAAACAAAAGAGAAGAGATTGGAAAAGGATGAGAAGCAAAAACAAAACACGGAGAAGAGAACAATAACGACACATTCCTGGCATGGGCTACAAAAGACTCTGTTTCTGTGCTGCATACATTGTATGGTGCTATAAAAAAAAAAAACTTGCAATTAGTTTTATAGTCCTAGTTAACTGAATCAAGCACAGCAAAAAACTTACCTTTACACACAGCCCAGGCTTCCTCATCACATTTCTCACCACTAGTCCGCAGTTCAAAGAAATTGTACTCCTCCAAACTCAGAAGGCCATTCCCATCCAAATCAATGGTTTCAAATACATCCAATAAAGCTGCTCTAAAAGATGAAAAAGGCAAACTTTTTTTTCCAAATACTTCTATTTCTTCTACTGTCTCATAATACTGCTGATAACTATTCAATCTATTTCAGAATATTCTGTACAAAAACTAGTTTAGTGACATACAGCTACAGGCAATGTTGTTCAGCGCACATAGACATGGTAACTCTTGCAAAAGTATTTGGGAACATGACTCACCGGAACTCTTTAGTAAGAGCCAGTTCTCCATCTTCACCTCTATACACCAGTTTTGCTTCTCTAGTAATTTGAGGTTTTACCTTCTTGAGTTTACAGCCTGTCGTGAATGGGAGTAGCCAGTAAACTCCCGATCCAAGCTCCCCTTTCCATCCAAACATCTACTCTTAAAGGAAGACAGAGAAGCTCTTAGGTTACTGCTCAAATTATGTCTTCCTTTATTAACAGTAGTCATACAAAAGTGATGAATTCCTTGAAAATACTCGTAATGTTAGGCTCTTTCCTTAAAGAAAGCAGGTCTACAGTAAGATGCTGTGTGATGCCATTTCAAAGAGACAAAAACTAATGAATCTCCTAGTTGCAATAACAATTAAAAAAATATATAGGACCAGAGATGAGGGAAGAGCATTCATTATTGGAACTGGCCAGTGACACTGCTACCATTTTTCAGATTTGTAATTCTTTTTTTTTTTTTTAATCTTAAACTCTTAAAAAAAAAAAAAATCAGCCAGAAGCAGGCTAACAAAACCCAGAGTTTTTTCATTCCTTCCCTGATTTGGCAACTTAGTTCAATTTTCAAAGAAAACTTTCTATATAAAAATTCACAAGTAACTTAGGGTTTAAGAAGGAAGCTGAGCTCCCTGTGGCTTTGGATGGCAGAAATAACAATGCTGCAATTTCTCCTGCCTTATTTCTGTAATAGGATAAGAATTTTCAGTGCGCAATTAAGTTTAAAATCATGTATACGGCAGGGAGAAAGAAAATTAAAGGAAGTTTTATCAAATGTGGCCTTGGAATTTTTGGAATACAGGAATTCAGATGAGTTTCCACCAAAATTCTAGGGGTATTAGAATATCTATACGGATAATCAGCAACTCAGCAATATTTGCCAATGCAACACTTAAGAATATAGCCCTCACTGGAACTTCATTAAACTTCCATACATGTGGTTTACAATTCACGACATCCAAAGGGCATAACTAAGACAGTTTTCAAATCTTCTGACTTACTTTGTAGAAGTTCTGCTGGTTTTGGAAGAGAATACACACATAACAAATGTTCTTTCTCTCTAGTCTGAGCAGATAGTTTGAATTTATTCCAAATACGTGGAAACTTACCCATACAGCACTAACACATACACCTAAGTATAAAAATTAACATAGAAATAAAACGAAAATATCTAGCCTCTTTATTTTGTTGTTCAGTAAAGCTTATGAGCTGTAGATTTTCTTGGCTTTCATTTTCCTTCAGAACATACAAAGCTGTATCCACTGACAACCAATGACAAGATTTTCCTAAAAAAAAAAAATTGCATACATTGTTTTTTGTTGAACATTGAAGTATGTATTTCTATTATAATTATAACATTTGTCCCTGTTAACGTACGAAGAATCCATCGCATGTTATTAGGATTTCTTTCCTAGTTAGACCTATCAAAGAAATTGTTCCAAGTCTTGTCACTGTCTTACTGAAAAGGATTACTATTAATAGTTCAAATATTAAGCCCTTTGATAGTTAATGAAGCTATTTCTATTGTTTTCTACTATTAGTACAACCTTATTATTTACTACTTTTCTTTATACTAAGATCCCTAGATATTTACAATTAAAGATATTAGCAAAATTATACTACATTCTCTTCTAAGGTTCTATAAAATATTGTTAAACTCATCTTGAGTGGAAAAGTAGATTATGTTCAAAAGCGAGACATACTCAAGATGTAAATCTCTGAAAGATAAGTTTCAATCATTTTTTAAGAATTTAACAGCAAGATCTCTCTACACGACATCACCAGTTGTTTTCTATTTGTCTTAGGTTTGATTAGAATGGTGGCCTGGTCTTAAATACTTTGCATAGATGCCATTTGAATCTCTGATTTTTTTAGCTGCTTAGTCCCTGAGGGCAATCAATCAATCAGCTATTTAATGGTCTTCAAGTTAATCAGTCTACAACAAAACTGTAAATGAAATGTAGGATTTAGTTTTTCTTCAAGTATGAATTTAGCGTGAATCAAAGATACTAGACAGTGGCTACACACCACATAAACTGCATATGCCTCTGTTAAAACGTCAGAGAAAATTTTGAGCTTTCATAAAAGGGTAATTGCTCCACTAACAGATAAATTCTTGCTTTACATACTAGTATTATGTGTAACGATTTTTCTATTTACAGCACAGTAGTGTTGTACAGAAGAAGAATATTTACAAAAAACAAGTAAACATGCATGCTTTTAGTCGCAAGGAACTTCTGGACCATGCTGCAGCAGAAGTATCCTAAGGCACAGCTTAAGAGGGAAGAAGAGGAAGAGAGGAGAGGGAAAAGGGAGGAGATGAAAGAAAAGCTAGTGGGAGAGCACCAGTATATTCTGTTATTCAAATTTAGTAGCCTCAGACCATTTTTCCATATCCTTAGAAGTCCTGTTGATCAGCTTCCCATTTGAGCAGGTGGAAAATACCTACTTTCTGTCAATTATTTGAGGCAAAGATTTCATTCTCAACCTCAATCAGAATCATCTGTGGCACAACAGCCGCCAATCCAGCCAATTCTAAAACATATTTGAGATGCTCCTGTTTCACAAGATTAAAGAGAAAATAACCTATTTGTGGATAAAAAATATCTCTAAGACAGCAACTGGATAAAGCCCCTTGGTAAATTACTAGGGAGAACAAAGCCCATCGTGTTTGGGGAAAAGGAGCACACAGGTTGACTCATCTCAGGTGCATCTAACGCTAGGAACGTCACAGGGACAAAAATTTTAAGACAAAAATTAAAACGGGCAAACTAAGCTCTAAAACCCTCAGACAAGATTCATAATTGAAGTGTCATGATACCCTACTGCCATAAAAAAACATAGCCAATTTTAAGTATATACAAAAGCATTTGGTGTGGAGAATACAAGATCTCTCAGGCAGTACTCGCTAAGTTTTATATTATTGTTTCCCATAAAGTACATCAACACCTTAAAGGGAGATACTGCAAACAATACCAACACTTAAATTTCGGCTAGGAAACTCTTTAGCAAATCTACGGTCAAAAGCACTATCTCCATAATCTTAAAATACTCAGTAAAAACAAAGCACCTAAATACCATTTTGCATCTGGAACAAACACTGCAGCATCAACAATCTAAAAGGCTGGCTGACTGGGAAAAGAAAGATTAACTGATTTTCACTGCTCAGGCAGTGAGAACAAGAAGAGTAAGCAGAGAACATAGTTTGATAAGTAAAGTTATATTTTTATAGGACTCTGTCAACAGAGAAAAATACTGCAATATCTAGTTGAAATTTTTAACCTGCTACTGTGACAAATAACAGTTTTGGTAACTTAAGAAAAAACAGTTCTCTGCTTTTCCGTTATTGTGCGGGGGTATGGTCAATATATAGTTAGTTTCATTACACTTGTGACTTTCTGTTCTCCATGTGTGCTTATGTGTGCACATACGTGTGTGTGTGTGAGATGCATCAGCAGGAGAGAAAAAGCATTTTTTAAAGAAGAAAATGCTCCAAACAAAAACAAACATGCTTACCTTCTGCCTGACAAAGGTTTAAAGGCTTGATGGTAATACATACTGTAGACCTCTGAGGTAAGTGCAATCTGTATTTGTGACTAATGATTTCACCATCTTCTTCTAAGTAGAAGCATCCTTTGGATTGTGCACATTGCCATTCCTGGAAACCAAGCAAATATTAGATGTCGTCTTGATCTTTGGTCAAGATCAAAGATCTTTCTCTTAAATGTATTAATTTGATGATCTAAACTATATCTAGATGAATACTGCATAAAATACAGCACAAAATATAGCCTTAATTTTTTTTAAGAATTCTCTGAAATAGTCCTTTTTGTAGTCAATTTTGGCAGATCGATTAGTAAAATTGCTTCATTTATGAAAATGCTTGAAAAACATACAGATTACCTCAATGCTCAAATAGTCCAAATGAAATTTGAATTGCAATGAATCAAGCTGAATTCAGAAATTCTCCAGACTGTGTGATTTACCACTGAAATAATGGAATTTGTGCTGTATTAGTCCCATCAGGCCAATGAAGCAAGGAACGTAACTGATTAGCTTGAACAATGAGGAGTTACTCGCTCAGACAAATTACAAGCACAAGAACAGATCAAATTAATTAACTGCTTAGCATGTTATTTTTTAGATCTAGTTCCAAAAAGCTTCTACTTCAGTAAAACATTTAAGCACATCCATAAACCTCACTGATGTCACTGTACTTTTCTGAACTGGGTTCTAACAGCATTTCATTACCATTGTCAGAAGAATCCGACACAAGTGAGTACATTCACGTTCATTGTTCAAGGCTAGCCAGAATTTGGCTAAAGCTAGTGTGAATCCTCTTTGTAAGAAAGTGATACTTCTCGGCTTCTGTCAAAGCCATTGCAAAGACACAAAGGGAAAATTACACTCTTTGTGAACAAGGTTGCTAGAAAAGGTTCCTGAGTTTGCAGAGATACTAAAACAGCTACATGCTTGATTTTTTTTTTAAATTAGGTCCTAATTTTCAATTTCAAATATCATTTGGCAAAAGAGAAACAAAGTCATTACAAAAATATTGTATGCCTTGAGGAGAGGAAGATATCCTTGGCTTTGCTTCCCTGGTCTTGATTGAACCCATTATTTGCTTCCATTTACTTCCACAGTTACTATCCATTAGTTACTTTCCTAGCAACAGAAGATACTGCTTCTGAGCAGACCTTAGCAGACAGAATCTTTGAAATTAATCTTAGCAGAGAGATCTGCTCTGGAGCCTGTACCTTTGCTTAGGGTTCAGTGTAACAGGTAAACTAACAAAGATCTGAAAGACGAGCTTCTAAAAAAGGGAGAGGGGCTGCATGTGACTCCCAGTAAGGAAGATGACCACTAACTCACTCGAAGGCCAACCGGTCTTCACATTTCATTCCACGCTGCTTAAAGAATCAGTTTTCATTACAGTGCGTTCACCTTCATTTGACAGTATTTTACAGTCACTGACCTAAAGGTGTCAGGCAAGAACTGGACTTCGCTAGAGCAAGTATATCTGGGATGCCAAGTAACATACCTGGTAATACACAGAGCTCTGATCCTAAATCTAGATTTCTTTATTCAGAACTCTTCATTTCTTAAGAATATAAATTACTCAGGAACTCATGGATTTAAGAGCATTCAGTCCTCTGCCACAGTTTCGTCACTGATTTCTATGGGAACAGGATTAACCCCTTGGCATTTCCTATTTAAACTCTACTTAATTCGTCTTCACGATATGCAAGCTCGTACCTTGATATGTGAGATGTATCTTGAGCAAAATCATTGCAGGTATTCGCATAGAAAGACCCTGCAGAACTTAACTAATTGATCCCTGATTCCACATTTTGCCTATGGATCACTCTTATCAGTTTCACCAAAACAACACGAACTCAGATATGAAAAGAATCTCCACGCTAAAGGAATAAAATATATCATCCTTAACAAAACATTAGTATGGATAAATACTGAGAATTCAAATTCTTACACAACTGGGAACTATCTTAATCTCAAAATACTTTATTATTATGGTAAGACCACCCTGTCCTATCTAAGATGTCAAATGAACAGCAACAATTATGTCAGCCTCGGTATTCCAATAGTTTTCGTAGCACAGTGCATCATCCTGATTTTACCTGGTCCATGGAGAGTAGTTTTGTCCTATTTGCTCATCTTCCATTTTTCTAGCATTATTTCAAATGAAAGACAAAAATTTCCTGCGGTTTTGCGTTCATGTAAGTGATAGATGTTGTTAACATAGGGACATCAAACAATCCAAATAAGCAGGGAAAACATCTCAAGGAACAATGTCCTTGTTAAGTTGCGACTAACAAGAAACAGAAGTTTAACAATGCTTTAGGAATCATTAACTCAATTGTTATTCTTGCAGGGAGCATAAGGTGGTGCTATATTCTCTGAATTATCAATATCACAGTACAAAAGGAACGTAATTTGAGAAGTCAAAAGAAGATTTTCTGTTTTGAATGTAGCATGTTACTTCAATGTATAATAAAGGATGTGAAATACAAAGGCATAAACTTGTCAAATAATAGCTAACATAGTGGAAAATGTTCTACTTAAAAACGTTAATGCTAAAGAAATGATAGGGGATAGCTGCTGCTGCCAGTGCTGGTCACTGCCCAAATACTGTATTCTACTGCTATTAAAATTTAAGTCATCATGGGAACATACCTATGCATAATTCCAAACAAAAAGACCCCTCTGGGATATTTCTTTTGCACTGTGTATACAGGTCTTTCACTGACTTCAGTAGAACAAAATGCAAAGGTGAGACTCCTTAGCAGGGATAATTTGTTTGTTATGATTTAGTTACCCAAAGCAGAGAGAGCATTTTAGAACATGATTCACTGCTTTCACTTGTTTTGCTAATATCTTTTAACCTTGATTAAAATCCATAAGATGAATATTTTGCCAAAATTTAAAAATTGCATTAGCTAGGTTTTAATTAATCAATCAACTACAGTTGAAGCCCAACAGGTCAGTATGTTGTTTATGCACATGTGTAACACTTATGGAACTCGTCTATTTTTTGTCCCTAAATTTATTTCCAAGGCTTTGAATAGGTCACGCAACTCTACTGACAAAAAGAGAACACATGGAAGAATTGTCCTGTGCTATGAATACATTTCATGTTTTTTGTTTTTAAATTTAGATGTTCACAGTGTTTTGAGTTCTAATGTATTCTTCTGTCAGAAGTGCAACTTTAGCATCGGTCCAACTTCATGATGGCAATATTTTCTTACTGTCCCAAAAGACTGTGGAAAAAAAGTATTTCTGAATCTAAGATGAATGAAAAGAATTTTTGTGCTGTTAGATCCTGATCCACAGCCTAAATAAATCATTGTGTTTGTTCATCGATTTTGATGGGGTTTGTATTGGGCCTTTAATAGTTAGGGTTAAAAAAAAGGTTCTATTTACACCTACTTACATTTATTGATCAATTTAATTTTTTATATGATGCTAATCAATAGTATTCAATAACTGCAGCTGCTATTTTCAATCAGCTCTTTACTTGCGTGTAAAAAGAAAGACGAATCCAATATTGGGAAACTGTGGGATGGTTTTATACACTACATATCATGTTTGAACAAGGTGAAATTGCAGGTTAAATTGCATGGAGGTCCAGATACCTAAACAGACTGCAAAAAATTCCTTTGAGATTATGTTTTTAAATTTTAATATAGAACAAATGTCACTGTATAGCAATGTTGAAGATATAAAGGACTTCAGAGTTCAATAACAAATACAGAGTTGTTATTTGAAACAAAAATGTAACTCGAGAGAACAATCAGTTCAGTTTTCCAGCAGCAGTTATACTATGTGGTCATAACCATTTTTTCCGTTTTATACAGAGGTCTCAAGATGCACATTTTTAATGTATCCTAGCAGTTTCCAGTTAATGTTTTATATTTCTATAGCTATTATTTTCTGTTGAAAGAAAACTAGTAAAGGTTGAGTCAAGAAAGCAAAAACAAAGGAAAAAGATCAATATTAACACTCTACAAATATTGACTTAGCAAAGTGACTTTGTTGTCTTTCTCCCACAGGAATTTATATTGAATGAGTGATTTATTTAAACTAAAATACTGATAGAGCATATTAGTCTAAATAACAATCAATATTTTCAGGCTACAGCATATATTTACAAATTAATGCCCAACAAACTAAATATGCTTGGAGTCTGTTATTTATTTCCAATTACCTTTCATTTAAAGGTTTATGATACACAATCTTTCAGACTACTTAAGCATTTAAAGTTCTCACCAACCTAATAAATTATTCAATTTTACATTTCTCAAAAAGTCATTAAACGTTTTATCCAGCAGTGGTTTCATTTATTAAAAAAACACAATTTGTTCTATTAAACCTTCACACCTGAAAAATTACTTTCAATAACTAAATGTCAGCAAAACCAACAGTATATAAAAATGTTAATAATAATATGTATCAAGAAATGTCTCAGTAGCGTATAGCTGCCCTTGACAAACTATTAATAAAACATAAGATAAAAATCAAAGAAAAACGGCTTCTTATTTAAAATGCAATAACATATGTGCCTGGAGGAAAGCAACATAATTTCAATAGGACTGGCTTACATAATACCTTTACTGTGTTTGGTTCAATTAGCTTTGCGTTTCTGTTACGACTGGCACTCATGCTGAAAGTGGAAGAAATGGATGCTTTGCAACTTTGAGCTGATGAGGGTCTTGAAGAAATTCTGCTGTCCCCTGTAATCACAGATATTCCGTTACAATCAGATTATTTCATCCCACTTTGAGCGCTATTTCTTGTAAAGCCATACGTGTATACGCACATAGAGGAAAAAGTGGATGACAATAACTTGAATGAGATAGGCTGACTTCCCTTGTGATTATTTAATACTTAATCATTGATTAGCCAAACATCTTTACTTCCCTGCTTATACATCCCCGATGAATGGGCATATAAATAGCAGAACCTTGGAATCTGAATCTGCCTGAAGGACAAGAAATTCTTACCACACGATACAAACTTTGTCCTAACAGGGTACATTTATCCAACTTCTAATTTAAGTTATTTCTTCCCAGGGCAATGTAGTCTTCCTTACAGATAGCATATCACGTGGGCACAATCGACCAAGACAATTACTTCCAGGCCTTTACCTCCCAGTTCCTTAAGTTGGGGCACCTCTGCTAGTGCAACTGTTGATTTAGCAACATAAATTCAGCCTTGGCATTCTCTCTTTTGTCATCTTTGTACTTCTTCAACTTCAGCAGAACTTTTGCTTGAATTCAAGCAACTTAAACAGTACACTCTACCTATAAATGCAAATATTTCATATACAGTACCTTTACAGTCTTTTATCCTGTAGTCTTTTCCCAGTTTGGGAAAGTTCTTAAATACATTTGTAACTTCAGCCACAACCAATAAGACAGTTTAAAGTTCTTCCTGAAAAGGGGCCTCAATAATTGGAAAAAAAGAAAGACTGTTTGCTTATTGATACACAGTTAAGGTTTCATCTCTGATCAGGGAAGGAAACAAATAACTTGCCATGTTGCAACATCTGTGCACTCATTTTCTTTCTTTCCTCTGGACTGTGCCACATGAGAGTCAACCAATTTTACCCCTAAGAGGAATTTGATAGCTTCAGATGATAGAAGTGGCCGGAGTCCATTTGAACATGGGGGCCAGATATTCTCCTGGGACATTTACATGACTGCCACAGCAGAAATGAATAATAGTCGATGACATCCTCTGAGAAAATCTGAGAAAAACTAAACAAATACTTACTCGTTTGTTGACCCAGAAAATGAACTCTAACAGAATGAAAGCTCCCAATACAAAAAATAAATACCTTTCATTGCTGTAAGTTTGTGATCAGCTTTCCTTGAGACTCTTGGCGATGGTTTAGATACTGGCAGCGCAATCCCTTCAGAAGAAGTTTCAGCTTGACTTCCAAACTGCTGACGCCTCAATCGACTGTCAACTTCCAGTTTCTCTAGTGCAGTCTTGCAGCACTGCTCACTGGTTGTCATGTATAAGTCACAAAACTTTAGACAGTAAGAAGTAATCTGGTAAGCAAAACTTTCTCAGTTTTAAGGATAAAAACATAACACTAGTAAGCAAAACAATAGAATAATAGATGGAATGCACTTTCTTTTAACGCACAATATTACTTTTATTTTCATGAATCCGAGTGACCATTCTCAAATGACAGTAAAATAGAGCCATGATTCAATGGGCAGGTCACAATACTGAATGAAAATGAAGTGTGACTTTCAACCCAAGAGATTATTTATATTTCTTTTTAGACATTTGCAGCCTGTTTTGTGTGTGTGTGTGCGTGTGTGTGTTCGTGTGTGTGTGATTTTTAGTAGTATTTTTTTCCCCCATGACACCATATTTATGACACAGATCTTTGTGGCGTTTTTTGCACAGTTTAAAACTTAGTCACTGCTTAGAGATGCTGTTACAATAACATAAAACTGAAAAGAGCTTACATCTTGAAAATTAGATGCTCAACATGTAAAATAATTTCCCCCACATGTGAAATTACATAATGTCACAGACATCACAGTCCTCACTGATTAGCTAAGTTTGTTGTCAGTTGTCATCTTTATCCTGCTATTGCTTCAATTCTTACCTTCATTCATGCTATTAGGTGTCACGCTGACTGTCTAATACGTGAGGTTCACTTGTAGCAAGTGACCTTTTCAAGTATAATAGCTAGGGCAGTACATTGTGGGATGAAGCAAAGGAGGCAGGACTCTCATTTTAGCCCTTGGAGAAGTAGGTACCAGCCCATGCACCAGTACATAGGCAGATCATAAAAAAAAATAAAAATAATAATAAAAAAAATCAATCAATCAATCATCAATGGGCTAACACATGGAGGTATTATCTATTGCATTTGCTTGTTCCAATAACACCAAGAATAGATAACATCACTGTTTTCATACCTTGTTGTAGTCAAGTTTGCCACTGCTGTTAAAATCAGCCAGTTTAGTAATGGCACTCACTTCATCCAGAGTCATTTTTTCACATCTCTGCAATAAGCAACTCAGTTTTAGCTCTTAATCAAGAACGATGTTCACTACTTTGAATCACCAAATTAGAGGTCAACATTATTAAAAAAAAAAAAAAAAAGTACAATGCTACTAAGTACTACAATGCTACTAAGTACTGAATAGCAGAATTACATCAGTTTATGCAATTTTGTGGTATCTTATAGAAGCCCACCATGAATGATACCTACGTCAATTTCAGAAAGTCTTCCACAGGCTGGGGTATCTCAGACATTCTTATTCTTATCTCTATTGTAGCATGCTAACCACCATGACCTAATTTCATAATACTTTGTTTCACTCACTTACTTGTACTATCCTATTATGCCTACAGTGGGTCAATCTACATTTGCAATTTAGTGCACTGGCAGGGTTATTCTCAGGTGTGAATTTGTCTTGCATTTATACTTGGAGTCATGTTGAGTGCCCCACTTGCAACACGGGCACAAAGTACATCTCTCAGGAAGAGAGCATGTCTTCTGTAAGATCCTCCAGCAACTCCTCTATACGTATGCACATGACTGTTAGTAATGACAAGGCAATATGCAATTGCTGTACAGAAATCTGCTTCCCATCACCTTTTAGCTATGGATACATGGTGTATACTTAGTACCAATAACTGATGCAGACTTCAGCGTTGGTAAACGTTATGTGGACCTATGGTCCCGGATCCATAACGGACTGCAACAAATCAAACTCTGGTCCTTCCCTCATTGCACAGCACCAGTTGCTAATGTAGGCATGTGTAACGAGTTTTGCATTTGGGGCTCTATAAAATGATGCATTTACTTTATGTAACTTTACTGTGTTTACAGTCTGCAGCCTAACTCAAGATCTATTCCTTCTGTCTTGTGTTACAACGTTTCTTTACCATTGCAACTGCATCTTTTTGTTCATGCAGAAGGAGGATTAAAGATGTCTCAAGTCAAAAAACGATCTTAAATTTCTTGTGGTTGACCCAGTAAAACAAAACATAAACTGTTCCTTCAGTCCCCGTTTGCTCTCTTTTATCTTTCCTTAAAATCCTGTCATTCTCACTTGTGAAAACTTTACTAAAATTCTACTTCTAGTCCATTTTTAATTGTTACTGCTCCTTAGTGTTTGTGCTATGTAAGATGATTGGCTTTTACAATGAAGGGGTTTTTTTTTGGTTGTACAGAGCAAAAAAACTGACAGAACAGAGAAAGAAAATAACTATAGTTATCTGTGGTACAAGACCGTGCAGTTTAAAGTTAGAGCATCAGCTTTGTACTGGCTGGAAGATTGCTTTGTTTCGGGGGGTTTGTTTGCTTGTTTTGCAGAACTTCTCAGGACCTGGATTTTAATGTTGCCATACTCTTTAAAGTTCTAGCTCCTAGAATCTCATCGCTTCACAAAAATCTCCACTGCTGTTTTACAAACTGCTTTTCTAACCTTTGTGATTTATACAATAAAGCCAAAAAACATAGTTGCAGGTCAGTAGCTAAACGAAACGTTCCAGATAATCTTAAATGTTATTATTTTAAGCCCTATTAACGATATGCATAGGTAAGCCTTATGATTTCTGCACCCTTTTATTAGGGGTTATGCATTGTCAACACAAAGAACTGACTGACACTCGGACAAGCTTATTGGAAGACCCTGATGAACTAAATAGAAGATCCAGTGGAGTCACTGGAGTGGCAGAACTTGTCATAGCTGTGATAAGATTAAAGCACTGATCTTAATATTTCATGTATAAGGTACATAGATGTTATTTTTTAACTTTGTATCTGAACATGCTTAAACAAACTTGTGATGGTAGAATAGTAAATGTATGAACTTTATCAACAAAGTTAATGGTACAATCCCAAAGGGCTGCAGAGGAGCCCTGCAAAGAACAGAGGGATTTGCAGGGACTGAACCCAGTAAGAGCCGAATTGATTCCCTTCTGTTGCTCCAGTACAGTACAGGGTTTTTTTTAAATATTAAAAATATTTTTCTACTAATTCTGATCTTCAAAGAGCAATTGCCAAAAGTGACAAATAGGTTATGAACTGCATGACAGTAAGGGGGGGAAGAAGAAGTCCACAGATAACCACAGAAAGTTAGACATAAAATTGAAAAAAAACTAATGAATCACTTATTGACTCTTTTGATCAGGAATATGTTATTACACATTTAAAATGGTTTTATAATCTAATTTCCAAAATGTCTACTACTAATAGTTAAAAATGGACAATTAAGTTTTCACCAATACTTACTGTTGTAAGAATTTTATACAGTTCATCATGTAAAATATATCCAGAATTATCTAAATCTATTTTTCCAAATGCTTTGAGCAGTTCAGCTTTTGTAGATGTTTTTTCTTTTTTTAAGATAGTACAAAAATCATCAAAATTCAGTGTGGTTGTTTGTGAAGTCCAGTATTTATTAAGTGTCTTCTGAGATGGATTTCTTCCAGCCTGTTGAAGTACTGAAAAATAAAACACAATATTAACTATGTATTTGAGCTGTCAGTATCAATAAGGAATTTTCTCAAAACATCCTTCAATCACTGCATATATTCAAACTTAAAAAAAAAACCAAACAAACAGTCAATTCAAGGGAAAAGCAGATTGGAAAGATAGCTTTGCTTAACACGGACATAATATGAATCCTGTATTCTACTGACATAGACTAATTGCGACCTTCCCTTGCCCTTGAATTCAGTGGTTTGTACCAGAGAGGTCAGAGAAGCCTGAGGGGCACAGCAGCTCCCCAGAGTGTTTCTTTGAAAAGAGTCATGAAACAGGCAGCACCCAGCATTCTATGCCACCCCTCCAAACTACAATCCAGCAGAGAGATGATCTGTAGTGCACTGCTGAGAATGATGCCCAATTTCTTCTCCTACAGAAAAGGAAGAAACCAGAAAGCAGTCTGTGACTTTTTATAACACAAAAACATCACAGGCAGTGCAGTAGCCAACTATAATTTTTGCTTATTGGCTCTGATCTGCATTTTTCCCTTACTTATGTGCACTGTCCTACTAAACTCAATGGGACAACTCCCTTAAATAAAGTCCACAGGACCAAACCATTAATTAGGCAAAATACCCATTGACTTGAAACACAGAATCTCCTCCCCAAACGACAAGTGTAAAGCTCAGCTCAGTGTGTATGATCTACAGCCTTAATATCAGTAACCTACTATTTGTAAATTTGCATATTATTAGATCCCATTTCTACTGAGATCCATGTCTTCCCATTTACGTTAACAAGAACTGAGATGCAGTGTTCAAATTTTCTTAAATAATCTTTTATGTCACCTCTATACATTTAAACTTATCAATTCAAATTATGCAACATGAATTTCAAATGTAAAGCAAAAATGATACCTGACAGACAGATACATTACTAATGCCAACAGCCAATATCATATATGCAAACAGTCCCAGTGCTCCTACACCTTGCTTTTTTCAAAGTGAGTTTGCTGGATCTAGTTACTCTCTTCAAAGTCTTTATAGAAAACTGCCTTTCACCAGTTTCCAGTGTGAGGAAGGTGTTGCATTAAACTGCAATTTAATTCAAATAGCCTATCTGAAACGGTCTGCAGAGATGCCTTTAAATCCTTCCGGATAATCAAGCATTTTAGATGAAGAAATGAAGAAATTCTTCATCTTTACCTAGGTTCACAGTTTGATTTTTAGCCAGCGGACCAATGACCAAATGTATCTCAGCTGAGAGCAGTTCAGTAGCATCTGTGAAATGAGGTCATGGTATCATTACAATTCTCAGCAGGCAACTGTGTCACCATAAAAACAAACAAACAAACAAAACCAGACACCTTTGTTGCTAATCTCAGATGGAATGCCAAGGACTAAATAAAGACTTCTGCCCTGTCACCTCTACAAGCGCAGTCAGGAGAATACAGCAAAGCCTACATCTTCATCCATGTGACACTTGGGCACACAGCAATTGTTTAAGGATGTTTAAGGATTTCTGTGTCAAGGTCAGCCAAGGAAGGGCAATTACTCTATGCGTTTGGTTATGTGGATAGCAGAGTTTCCTGGAATGTCAATGTAGCACAGTATTCACTTACATTTAACAGAATATCCTTCAAATATATGGCAGTTCTATATTTTTATATACCCTGAGAGACCAGCACTTGCCATACAACACGTCTCCCAAGTTTGTATTTTTGAAAGTTCAATTAGGCTGCATTTTTTATTTATGCTTCTTCACAGATTGATTCTGCTGAATACCTTAAGTAACACAGGAATTGAAAGATTTCTGTGAATAAGTACAACTCCTACAAGTAAAATTTTGCAGGGCCAATCTAAGTGAATATTGCACCGTTCAGCTTATGAGCCAAACATCACGTAACCACAGATGTTTCAACACTGGTACCGTTCATTTGATACTACGTCTACATTTACTTAAGTTGCAACATAATCTATAATTATTTAACCCTTAATGCTTGCAGATTTGAAAGAAATAAGTTTATACACCTCTCCGAAAAGACTAGGAGCCCGAGCGACTAATTGCCCTTTTTGAGTTGACCTTGAAACCAAAATGCCCAAACACTTGCTGTGCACCAAAGCGGCATATGGATAGAGATGAAAGATGAAGCATATATAAAAGAGATGCCATTTGTTCACACCACTCCTATTTTAAAATCCAGATTATCTAAAACTATCATCAGGGTGTTACAAAGGCACTTTTATTATAGCCCAGAAAGCCTGGATAACACCAAGACTCATGCAACTTCAGTGCATCAAAAAAGTATACTCATCTTTTATAGTTGTGGCTTTTAACACAGAGATCTCATGCATTTTAGGCACGGGCAATGCAGCAATTAGGGAGAAATATTTGCTCGCATGTTCACTAAAAAATGTGACTAATTATGATCTAACCAAACGATTTGATAACATAGCATGTTTTTATCTTTAGTTGCTGCTTGGCTTTTGAATACGTTAAGTCTGCAATGCCATAATACATATACAGATAATCTAACAGAAGGGCTTTAGAAAGCAATGTATAATAATCACTAGTCTCAAGTGAATTGTGAGCTGGACTCTGAAACCCCTAAGATCAAAATAAAAATCCTGAATTTTTTAGCGATACATTTGAATTATTTTTATCTAACTGAAGGTTTATGTTCTCATGTTTTCTTTGTCAACCATATGAGCTAGAAATATTTTTTCAATAAAGCAACCTAGGACTTTCACATACGCACAGAACTCCAAGTAGAAAATAGGATTGAAAGACACCGCATGGGTCACCTAATACAATCCCATGCTATTGCATACAGCCATGAATAATCTTTTCCATAAAAGGACTAAAATGTTCTCAGAAAAAAAAAATATGGTAAGACATATTATACAATTCCTACAACTCCAAGAGTTAGCAAAGTTGACGTTATATTTGCTCGAGAAATTTTAGCTGGGGTAGCAAAATTTGCTTTGTAAATGAAACCTACCCAGTTGGTAAGATATGGTAATTAAAATTATAAATAAATCAATTTCCAATATACAGCCCTAGATACCACTTTTTCAGGTAAATGGTTTTATAATTTTCCTTAATAATTTCCATGCAAGGAACTTCGACATTTCATATTTTTTCCAAAACAACTTTTCTAAGCTCCACAACTTTCATTCACATTTTTATACACTTTTATTTACCATAACTGAAGCATTCAGTGATTTTTTTTTCCTGCCATACAGCTGACAATGATACCACTTATACACAAATACAATGCTGAAAAAAAAAATGGAAACTTTTGATCTAAGTCAAACAGTCTAAGGGAACAGTTTAACAGTTTAGTGAGAACTTAAAATAATAATAATTCTTACAAAACACAAATGTCTGAAACAGTCCATTTTGTCACACAAAATCAGTATAGGAAAGGCAATATTTTCACTCATTACTTGGACAACGTGGCTCAGAACTGATCTGTGAGACTATCTTTAGAGATGGTAAACTACCATACCCACATCTCCAATAACAACCTCCTTATGAGTCTGCAAACCTCTGTACCAAGTGATGCCAGTTACCATGGTGATTTTCTGTGCTGGGGCATCTGTCGACTATAAGCCAACTGAGACCAGCTCACTAAATCATTTGTCAGAGACAGGAAAACAATTTATTGTAGAAGCGTCACAGTCAAAAACGGTACTTAGGCCTACCTCAAGTAAGCAACAATGCTACCACCAAACTTGGTGTTGTTAAACAACTCACTTAGGTCCCCTGTAAGCTGTCAGCTGGTATTGACTTGTGCCCATTCAGACTAGTGATTTACAGATGAAAAGCTCTGTACACTATTCTCAATTCCATGAGTCATCCAGTACCTAATAACAAAGATTAAGGATTTGAAGAAAATGAAAAATATTGTGGAATGGTAGTGTCTGTAAACTGAAAAATCAGTGTGCGATATATTTTATAACGGGTACACGATGCAAATGTCTTTAAAGATACAGCTAACAATGCCTGAATGTCTGAACTCTACCTAAAACTACCAAAGTCCTTAAAACAGCTAGAGAGTCTTATGCATTAGGATAGTCTCACTACTGAATTGCTGACTGCTGTTCAAACTACCTACTGCAATAATTACACACAACAGTTATGGGGGGAAACAAAAATGTATTCATTACCTAAGCAGAGTTGTTCTTTTGATTTAATATTTTCTAAGCTGCTTTTTAAAACAGTTAGATAAGCTGCTCTGCAGTTCATATAAAAGATTTCTTCTTCTGAATGCTGGGACTTCTTTGCTCCGGAATTTTCTGAGTGTGCAGCTTTCTGAACAGAGAGGGATGCATTATTCCCAGAACCGCTGGCCATTCTGTGAAGAATACAAGCACATTTACAATTTTTTACTCTTTTGCCTGATGTTTTCACTACCATTGCCGGGGCTAGCACTGCTTCTCACAGTGGCAAAATGCACGAACATACGAATGACTGCTTTGCTTGCAGTGCCACTCTGGTTGTTGCTACTGGTCAGAATGACCCAGCAGTAGCAAAGACTGAGCGTTTTTTAGGAAAATATACTAATTTTAGGAAAAAATACTAATTAAATATGGCCGTAGGTTGAAGGAAGGAAGGTTGAAGGAAGCACAGATTAATTTAATAGGCTTTTTCGCCAAACAGTGATAACAAAGCACATACTGTTAGGAATGGACACAGCACTTATCTCATTGGAGGGAATTGTGGGCGCACGATCATGACAGACTGACGTCAAGTGGGATTCCATATTATGCTTCTTGGTGCTAACAGCAGAATAAAAGCACCCTTTGTCCTCCGGTGAAAACTATATGTGAGTGACTTTATGTTGGACCACATATTTGTCAGGATTTCCTCCTCCAGTCAAACTTTTTATTACTGAAGAATTGCTGTGGCTAGAAAAATTTTTAGTAGAGGTTTTAGTTTAACAGAGGCTTAGAAGAATTTTTATATTGTGAAGCCATTTCTGTGTCTTCCCTCACAAGCTGACTTTCTTATTCCCAAATCTGAATTAGGTAACAGACTGAGTAGTTTTAGACATTGTCTGCACTGACACTGTATAATGTAAAACATTCACTATTTAAAAAGAAGTGATACAGTAATTATTAAATGGATAATATGCTTTTTTCTGGTGGCAACTCCTATCAGAAGGGACTTTTGTTTTCTGTTTGTATAGTTATAACTCCATAAAAAAAAAAAGGTTAGTAGTGAAACATGGCCAAATTTTCAACCCTTAGCCCTCAAGCACGTGAAGTTAAACACAATTTTACTTTCAAGATTTATTTAAATCAAATTAATAGAAAATAATAAGTTTAAAGTTACGCATGTGCATAAACCTTTGCATAACTTTGGACCTTAAAGTACAAGGACACTACCAGGAAAACTGTAAAAGAAAGAATGAAAAAAAAATATGAAATAGATTTTTTTTCTAAATTATTGAAATGATTCAGTGCAGTAACTAACACTGTTTGCTCACAAATGGCCAGTAAACTTCAACAGCAGCTCTCTGCTTTTACCAAAGGTGATTAAGGTTTTTAGAAGGCCATCACAGAGGGACACTAAATCGTGCTGTACTGTTGGTCTAACAGCCTCTCATATTATTTTACCCAATGTTGACTTCGGAAAATATATTCTAGTATAACAAATTGAATATCTCAAGTTCAGCAACAAGACAACAACATCATAGGGTCCCCTTCAGGACTCATTGGATTCCTACTCAGGAGGCCTAAATCACTTGCACCTTTTTGAGTTATATAGGTCTTTTACACTTGGGAAAGAAAGATAATAATCACTTATCATGGATGAAGTACCCTATTTATAATACACAGACCGCCTGCCTGACACTTTAATATTACACTGGCATTAGAAGGACCCCATAGGGACACTGTGATACAGTCTGGTTCCCGCAAACGAGTGTCACTATAATTAAGCACCAGTGTTATACACACAAAATGAAAGTGGGTTAAAGTCAAGGAGGAAAAGAAGAATAAATGTTAATTTTCCTGTAACTAGTTTATAAAACGTGAACTCTCATTTACACTCCTTAGACTTCCCATTACCAAGACATTTCTTATGTTGGCTACACTTCTGCCAAAAAGCACTGCCAATATGTTGCTCAGAAATCTGGTGAGCAATAGTTTAGTAATAGCACTACTCACAGCCTCCTGGCTTGAGTCATTAAAATCCTGACTGGACAAATGAAGCTTTAGACAAAGTAGACAGCAGGGAGCAATTCAGCCTCAGCTGAAGTAGGAGGACAACACAGCCTAACTGTTACTCTCAGTTTTATTTCCTATGATTTCAACATATGAAAATCATCTTCCAAATGGGAATGAAGTGGTACCCTCTCTGGCAACATTGGCCTTTCCTGACACAGGTTCAGGGCTGGGAGTTCACCTACATCCACAGCAAATAGCACATCGATAGGGAAGTTTCACACTGCTGCTACTTAAGTTTTCGAGCCCAAACGCTGAGGCCTCACTCACCTGTAATCAGGGAGCTCTTACCACATGAACGTTATTATCTGGCTCTCCGGTGGGTGCAGGGATCCTCTTGGGCTGGATTTACAATCCAGCCTGGCGCAAAGGACATTAAAATCATTCTCGTTCCCTCCCTTCCCCCCCCCCCAAAGGGGATCAACCTCTCCTGCGCCTGAGAACTCCTCAGACCCTACCCCGCACCCGGCAGCCCGCTTTTGGCCGAGCCTCACCTCCGGCCCAAGCTGGCTTCGCACAAACCTTCCCGAGGGGGGAGGCCGGGCCGGCCCGGCTCCCCCCCGCGCACCGCCCCC